CTTCAACACAGAATAATTATTTTGCTTCAAGCCTGAAGAAAATGAAAACTTACTGATTGCTAATTGTGGACATCTTTTCTTCAGGGGTTTAAATAAAAAAGTGTAATTTGCCAAATTTGGATCATCTTTGCAAAATGCATTATGATACTGGAGAAAAATAACATGAGAAAAAACCAAAATTGTGAAAATTCCCTTTAAAACCGTCAGTGTGCAAAAATCTATGCAAAAGTCCTTAGCAAAAATTGTGCAATCTGCTTTCTTTGGTTATCTGCTTTTCAAAGAGCTACAGTAATAATCTTAAAACTCTGGAATAGGAAGTCGACTTTTAGACTCAAGTTATGACATTCATTAACCAATGAACTCGAGGTCCAAAGTTATTTGCTTTGAAATAACATCAAATGCACATAAATAATGCTTTAATGTCGTCTTCCTATTCTACAGTTTTACTGATTATAACTGTATAAAATGTTGAAATCTAGTGACTAGGAGTAGGTCTAAATATTTGGTCCCTCTGGTTGGTCCCTCTGGTTGGTCCCTCTGGTTGGTCCCTCTGGTTGGTCCCTCTGGTTGGTCCCTTTGGTTGGTCCCTTTGGTTGGTCCCTTTGTTTGGTCCCTATGGTTGGTCCCTCTGGTTGGTCCCTCTGGTTGGTCCCTCTAAATAGAGTGTAATACAAGTCGAAATCGCAAAAATCCTCAAATTGAAAATATTCGCAGAAATCTGCGCAATTCCACACAAACAGCATGCACATTGTAGTGAGATTACAGAAACAAAAGATTTTTTGCTTTCACTGGAATCAATAGTGTAATGTATCAAAAAATCCGCAAAATTAAATCATCAGAAATTTGAAAAGGACTTTGAGTTTTTTATGGCGTTCTGGTTCTGGTACATGACAAAGGGTATGGAACATTCAATAACACACATCAGCGTAATGTAGATTTAATTGTGATCCAAAGATTGAAAAACTAGGAAACTTTGTGCTTTTTGAAAACTAGGAAGAATCGCTTAAGAATATATTTTATTATCAACTATTCTTTAAAAAATGTAAATTTATAAAGGTTTTAATATAATTTTCATATACTCTAGATAAAGATCCATTTTCCTGACAGCCCCCTTTGAATTTCCCCCTGTGTTCCCCTTGAATGTTATGGTGGCCTAAATCTTAATATTCCCCTGTATGTGGCGCACATGTGTTTAAATCAACTAGACAAGCTCGTCTCCGAAACTAAACTCAATATCTCCGTAACGGAGCTAGCTATAGCAGTGAGCAGTGGGCCAGGCGGCCGGAAGGTACAATGCTGTATAACACTGTTAGAAAAAAACTAACATTTAGTTACTATGTTACAGTTCTTTCGTAATTTAGAACATTTTGTTAGAATTAGATATTAAAATTTTAGGAATATTTCTCACAAAGATTTAGATGAATTTTCTAAAATGTGCTCCGAATACATGACAAATTAGTTTACTTTTTACAGAAATGTTCTAAATTGGATGTTTTTTCTAACAGTTTATATCATGTGTTTTTTAGCAATCAAGGTTTTTATGCTCTTTTAAAAAATTCTCGAGGTTTATCACATATAAATATATATATAATTGCTTATAGTAAACATTATGATAACCTTAACTCTTAAAAAAGTTAGGTTTAAAACTTTTACTCTAATTGAACACAAATTAGAGAGAAGAAAAAGAAGAAGATTTTTTTTCAGAATTAATATTTCTTATTGTAGAAAAAAAAAGAATTTTATCAGGACATAACATTTTGTTAGAATCAAAGAACACACAGTTCAGAGAATTTTCTAAAATTTGTTCCGAATACATAACAAATTAATTAATTTTTTTTGCAGAAATGTTCTAAATTTTATGTTTTATTCTAACAGTTTATGCGCTAATTCGCATATATATATATCTTTATATCATGTGTTTTTAGCAATCAAAGTTTTTTGTTCTCTTTAAAAATTCTCGAGGTTTAACAAATTATAAAGTGTTTTAAAGATTAAGGCCTTAAACCTTTTATCTAATAGAAAATAAAGAAGAAAGAAAAAGAAGAAATTGTTCAGAATTGTATGTTCTACTAGAATTAATATTTGTCATAAAAAAGAAAGTTTTAGGATATAACATTTTTGAGGAGCATCTTGAAATCCAAATGATAAAAAAACGATAACCTACACTTAATACAATTACATACTGAATAGTGTATATCTACTGTGTCTGTATAGCACACTAAAACCCAAAAATAAAAAAAACTGAGAAAAGTTCTTAATTTTAAATTTCCAAAATGAGCTAGAGACATTTATTGTTTTGTTTGATATTTTGAATAAAAAAACAGCTCGTCCTCTAGTCAAATATAAGAATTTATTTGAAATATGGTTAAGAGGAGTAAAGGCTGAATCCATAGATAAAGCTGAACAATGTATTACTGATAAAAGTAAATGAACAATTTTGGAAATTGAAAATGTAAATTTGAACAATTTTTTTACAATATATTATTAAAGTATCTTATTCTCTTGTTAAAAGAATTGTTGTAGCAAATATTTGTATTTTGTTTTGGATTAGTTAGTTAGGACATTTTGCCACAAGTACTTCGGAAACATGTTCAAAAATAATAATTTTTGCTTTTGATAAATATTAACATGAGACACAAGTTCTTACATTCATGTTTTATGGGCTTTTCAATTATATATTTTTTAGCCCTGTAGCTTAACTAATAAAAATATATTAACCATTTTTTATTTTTTTGAAACACTGACCCACCGTTTATCTGTTCTGCATCTTAACCTATGCATAAAAAAAACAATTTCTTTTAAAATTTGTTCACAATTTTGATGTTGAAAAATTTCAAGAGATTTAGCGTTTTAATGTGAGCCGTTTTTGAGTTATTTAGAAAAAACACGGTGGAGTGGAACCCTCGCCCCCCTACCCCCTATGGTGAAAGGGTTAAACTTTGGCAAAATGAAATCACGAAAATTTTCGAAAATTGAGTAATCTTATTGTTTACAACACTTTGCAGCGACAATTTAGTCCACAGCAGTAATATCACTAGGATAAACCCCAATAATTGAAGAAACTTCATACAAGTATCAAAGTGCTATTCAGCTAAACAATTTGAGGTTTTTTGTTTTTCAATCACAATGTAATATATAATTATGTGAGGAGGTTTATGTTATTCCGTTTAAGACCTAATGCAACCTAGGCTTTGAGTCTGAAAGTCTGGTACATTTTTGATCTGAATTTTATCCGAGTAAATACTGGGATCAACTCGGGATCAAGGTCTTAAAACCAGTTCAAAACCGGTTCAAAGTAGGTTTAAAAAGTTAACTGTACATCTGGTCTTGTAACTATGAATTATGAATTTTATAGTTATTATAAAGAAATTATCATTTGATTTTGCTGAACCAGGAAAAGAACGTAAATATTTATTTCTTTTAGAACATTTTTATAGTTCCTACTTGGAAGGATTTACAGTGAGCAATTTGCTTTTATTTGGCTCAGAAAAATTGATAAGAAAGGGGTTTATAGATCAATAACCAGGGGCTTCTTCTTGTTTGCTAGAGATGGGCAAAATAATCATATGAAAAAAATTAAACATTCGATCTTAAAATATTAATTTAATTTTTTTTTTGTAAATTAGAATTTGAACTTTTCAAAGAGAAGATTTCATTGAAAAACTTCTGAAAATTGTTATCGTGGTATCTTTAGAGATCAGAAAAATGCTAAATAAATGTTCCCTTTTTTAGATTTTCGAATTTATTTCAAGAAAAAAGTTAAACACAGCTCTAACTAATAGAATTTTATTCTTTTCTGCAGCTTGTACAAACCATATAAAAATATATCAAATTGCATAGAAATCAATTTATTTACAATAAATAACTTTTCTAAAAATACACTACAAATCCTTTTATTGTTCGTGCATTATAAAAAATATACTTAAAAGTTCCCGGATTAACTATTTTTCTTTGTGAATTTAAAAAAATAAAATCTATTAAACCATCTCCTGAAGTAAAATCTAAACAAACCAAAATCTATTACTTCATAATTCAAACCCTTTTTTTTGGATCAAAAATAGATTTACATTTGCATTGCTCTGTCTTGGTTATATACTTTGCTAAAAAAAAAATTTACAGATTCTAAAATATTATTTTTTGGTTTCAGGGCCGACCTGATTTCCGGAGAGTCAAGAGTTTCCCGGACATGTCCAGGTATATACTTCCGGGCATAATTTACATCACTTCCGGGCATGATTTACATTATTTCCGTTTATAACTTCCGGGTATAGTTTATACTTCCGTTTATAGAAAAATTTTTGGGCATTTATAGAATTAGAATCATAATCCTCAAGTACGTTTACTCCTGCTAACAATCTTCTAAATCAAGGAAATTGAATTTCTACCACAAATTCATCTTTATAACTTTGCAACATATTGTTAATCTTTGACATTTAAATCGGTGAATTCTGTTATAACCAATAATCTAAGTATAAAACATCTAAGGTTTTAACCATCAGGTTGAAAAACAATTCGGGTCCGCGGCAAGTACGCAATTCTTGTGCTCAATAGTTTTACGCATTTTCGGTTTCTTTAAACCCATCAAACACGGATTTTCAGTATTTTCACTTTTTTAACATTTTTAACATTTTCTGGTCGAATCCTTCCTTATTCAAACTTTTGTTTTTATTAGGGCGAACTTTTTCTCTCCTTCAAGAGCTGATATTTTTCCAACAACACCTCCTCCTGGCTGATAATCAGTCATGGTAAGTAAATTCAGTTAATTAGTTTACTCATATGGCTGATAATCAGCCATAGTAAGCAACATCTATTAGATAATTAGTTTACTTATATGGCTGATAATCAGTCATGGTAAGTAAATTCTATCAGTTAATTAGTTTAATCAAATGGCTGATAATCAGTCATAGTGAGTAAATTCTATCAGTTAATAATAGTTTACTCAAATGGCTGATAATCAGTCATGGTAAGTAAAATCTATCAGTTAATTAGTTTACTCATAGGGCTGATAATCAGTCATGGTAAGTAAATTCTTTCAGTTAATTAGTTTACTCAAATGGCTGATAATCAGTCATAGTAAGTAAAATCTATCAGTTAATTATAGTTTACTCAAATGTCTGATAATCGGTTATGGTAAGTAAAATCTATCAGTTAATTAGTTTACTTATATGGCTGATAATCATTCATAGCAAGTAAAATCTATCGGTTAATTAGTTTACTCATATGGCTGATAATCAGTCCCATGGTAAACTAACTCTATTAGTGAATTATCAAACTCATGGAGCTTATAATCAATCTGAGTGAGCAAAATATATTAGATAATTAGTATGCTCATATGACTGATAAATCAAAATATGTCAGCTTGCTAGCATTACTAATAATGAAAGTGGTAGGGGAAGTTTATCAAGTAAGCTAGCTGTGACTTTTGATCACAAATTAGCCATTAAAGCATACATTTTCGCCATATTCTTCGCATATTAAGTTTGTTAGTTTTTAGTGAAAAGTATTAAAAACCAGTTCTGTAAATCTAAAAATTGTTGAAACATAGACCAACACGCGATTTAAGTCAAAAAGAAGACACCGAAGCATCTAACCCTGGTTACTCCAGGGAGGGGGGCTGATAATTTATAATTTAAGTTTCTAACTTTTCCATAAAAATACTTAATTTTTTTTTGCTTAGGCAGGATGGCAGACACTTCTTCTGGTGGTCTGGCTGGGAGCTTTAGGATCCGTTTTAGCTGATCCTGCTCCTAAACCTAGACCTAGAGCCAAACCCCAGGTAAACTTAAGCTTGGAGCTAAACCTGAATAAAGCCTAGACCCAGACCCAACCCCGATACATGTGGTGACCGTTTTACACGTTGGCATGTGTTAACTGTTTTAAACCTTGACATGTGTTAACTGTTTAAAACCTTGACATGTGTTAACTGTTTTAAACCTTGATATGGATCCTTTAAGACCTTGATATATTCACTTTAAACTAAGCTTATGGTGCTGACTACAGTGATCTGAAGTACACTGACAGAAGAAATATTTTGTTTTATTTGATAGTGAATTGAGTATACTAGTTTGACCACCTGAAAAACATTATTTTGTAATACAGGGGCTAAAAACAGTGTGTTTTTGTAAAAACATTTAGTAGAAAGTAAATCTGTTTATCCAGATCTAATCCTTTTCATTATTTTCCGTCCAAAAACAAAAACAAATATATTTGTAGAATATTTATCATAAATTTTATAAATATATTTGTAGTATATTTATCATAAATTAAAATATATAAATATATGCGATTTTTTTATTCCACACAGTTCAATTATATTTGTTAGTTAAGTTCATCGTAATTTTGTTTAAGTTTTCCTAGTATTAAGCCTATTAGCATTCCTTTTCTTATCCTTATCCCTCTCAGCCTTTTATCATCTATATAATATAGCTCTTATATTCAAGGTGTATCTACTCAAATATGTGAATGAAAATGTAATTTTTTTATTTATTGGAGAATTACCGTTATTATTAGCTTGTTCGTAAGGTATAGTTCAACAAGTGCAAGAGCCGGACCAGCAGTTTTTTTAAATGCTTAGATAGTCGGCCATTTATGAAGATGTATAAATAAATAAGCACATTTTAGAAATATTACACAATACAGAATACAGAAAAAGCGAAGAAAAAAAACACCTTTTTTATTGCCAAGTTGGTGGTCTAAAGGTGTAATTGCGAAGTAGATAATTCGACAATATTGCAGCAAAAGTTGCTAATAAATTGACGAATTTTCAAACAATGTCATTTTTAAGAAACTTGTCTTTGAGAACAGGTTTTGGGATTTTCAAAAATATATAAAACATCATTTTAAATTTAAAACTGAGGATTTAGCGAACAATTTAATTCTCAAATGTTCAAAAATGGCCAAAAAATGACGATTTTTGTGGCGGCTTCAGAAATAATGGTCAAAATAGTTTTTTTGTGGGGATTTTTTTGCTTCGTATATATCTTTTCAATAGAAAAAGAGCACCTCTAAACAATTTTTACTGGGCCGCCCTAATTTGCCTGGCTCTTGCACTTAATTTCACTCAATTGCCGCTGGAAAACTGGGTTTTATAATCAGCTGATTTGTTAATGATGCAATCAAACGTTAACAACTATACCTTTCCAACAAGCAAGTAATCACAGAAATCATTCGCATTCTTTCGAATAGATAAACCTCGATCGTATCTATATATTTATATTTTCGCAATATCTGGCGAAATGGCTGAACCGAATTGCTGAACTTTTTTGAGGAAACTAATGGGTACTCTGGGGGTAACACAGGCTAATTTTTTTGGGATTTAATGATTTAATGATTTAATGATTTAATACCAAGCGCGGGTAAACGGCGACAGTAATTATGAATAATTATATAAACCTGGGCAACTCCAGGTACTCCAGCTAGTGTTTATTATTAATCAAATTGTAATTATTCCTGATAATATTCCTATTATTATTCCTATCTTATTCCTATTATTATTCCTATTATTGATCCTATTATTTTTCCTATTAATATTCCTATTATTTATCCTAATCCTATTCTAATTATTCATCATAGTAATATTACTAATAGTTTTATTATTATTATTTCTACTTTATTACTATTATTCTATTATTATTCCTATTATAATTCTATTATTATTCCTACTAATATCCTATTATTATTCCTATTATTATTCTTATTATTATTCCTATTATTATTCCTATTATTATTCTTATTATTATTCCTATTATTATTCTTATTATAAATCCTATTATTATTCCTATTAATATTCCTATTTTTATTCCTATTATTATTCTTATCTTATTCCTATTATTATTCCTATTATTATTCCTATTATTATTCCTATCTTATTCCTATTATTATTCCTATTATTATTCCTATTATTGATCCTATTATTGATTCTATTATTATTCCTATTATTATTTCTATTATAATCCTATTATTATTCCTATGCATATTCCTGTTATTATTCCTATTATTATTCTTATTATTAATCCTATTACTATTCCTATTAATATTCCTATTATTATTCCTATTATAGTATATGAATAAAAATCAATAAAGCAATGCACTGAGTTTCCCAAATATTCAACGAGTCGGTTTTTCTTACAATATATTTATATACAAAAGATACAAACTTTAAATCGAACGATACTAATACAAACTAAATGTTATGAATCTAATCAGTTCTATTAACGGGAGACATTTTACATTCTCATTTTCATCGTTTCACTTATACAAATTAAATATTGATAATCAAATTAGTTTCATCAAATAGGGGAATTCTTCAAGGGAACCTTAATTCAAGGGAGCTGAATCACAACTGTATTATTATTCCTATTATTATTCCTATTATTATTCCTATTATTATTCTTATCTTATTCCTATTATTATTCCTATTATTATTCCTATTATTATTCCTTTTATTATTCCTATTATTATTCCTATTATTATTCCTATTATTATTCCTGATAACATTCTTCCTTTTATTATTCCTATCTTATTCCTATTATTATTTTTATTATTATTCCTATTATTATTCCTATTATTATTCCTATTATTGATCCTAATACTATTCTAATTATTGATCATAGTAATATTACTAATAGTTTCATTATTCCCATTATTTTGTTTTCATTTGTATTCTTATTTCTATTTTATTACTATTATTCTTTCATTCTTTCTGTTCTATTCCTATTATTCTATTATGATTCCTATTATAATCCTATAATTATCATATTATTATTCAAATTATATTCATATTATTCATGTTTTTCCTATTCTATTTCTATTTCTTTTATGTTCCAATACTATTCCTTTATTCGATTATTTTTCCTATCATTATTCCTATTATATTATTATTCCTATTATATTCCTATTCTATTTCTATTCTATTCCTATTCTATTCCTATCCTATTTCTATTCTATTCCTAGTCTTTTCCTACTCTATTCCAATTCTATTCCTATTCTACTTCTATTCTTTTCCTATTCTATTTCTATTCTATTCTAATTCTATTTCTATTCTATTCCTATTCTATTTCTATTCTATTCCAATTCTATTTCAATTATATTTCTATTCTATTTCTATTCTATTTCTGTTCTATTCCAATTCTATTTCTATTCTAGGACCCAAACGAGAACTATGATTACAGCTATGGCGATTATTCTGAAGGAGAAGGCCAAGGGTACTATGATGAAAATAATAATAATGATTATGGCGAACCGAGTGAACCTGAAGGTAAGCCAGGTATATAGATAGATAGATAAATAGATATATAGATAGATAGATAGATAGATAGATAGAAGAATAGATAGACAGATAGAATAATGAGATTGATGTCAGCAATCTGTCATATCAGAAGAATAGATGAGATTAAAGGATGATAATAAATGATGAATATTAGAACAGTTTTTACAAAACCGTCTTTTAACTATCGAGGATTGGAAAAATTTTCGCGACAAACTCTACTTTTTAATGACTTTACTTTTGTCAACTGTATGTTATCTATGGTAAAATTATTGATTTTCAAATAGTAAAATTCTAAGTTTAACATATTCTATCAACAATTTTATTCCTTTACCTGTTTCTCTGAAAGTGGTCATTTTTAATTGAATTCGATATTTATAGGTTGTAATGTCTAAATGATTAAGTTTATATTAATTGAAATATTTGCGATCTGAGTGACTCCGTGGATTTGTAAGGGTCATACGTTCTTCGATATGAGTCGTTTCAACTTTTTTTCTCCTTATAGACGCAACAGATAAAAGTAAGATAATAAGCGATTGATATCGAATTCAATCCGATACCAGCCTATATACCCTCTCATTTTTTATGCGAACATGCCCATTAAATGTAGGGTCACTTAAAATTGCGTCTACTTTCCCTTTAAAATAATGAAGAGATGAAACAGAAAAGATAAATGGAAACGTAAATAATTGTTTTATCTGATGTATTAATGTGAAGTGTAGGAGAACTAGGGAACTAAAAGAAACCATTGAGCTGGAAAAGTAATCTGCCAGGGGCGTAGGAAGGGGCATGACTCCGCCTCCCCCCCCCCCTTTAACAGATAAATCAAACTACGAATCTTTTTATGGGATTTCTTCAATTATTGACTTGAAACCCCCCTTTAAATATAGAATACCCCCCTTGGAATATGTCTGTTTCTTTTAGTATTGCAATAGATAGTATTCAAGAGAGATATATTCTGAAGAATATTTATACTAAAATCATATCTAACTCAGAAGTAACTCTATTGGACTGGATCTGTTTTTTTTTAGATTTCCAGGTTTTAATTATTGGATTATCTTATCTCTCATTAGATCCCTAGGATATCTGCAGTGCTCCACATTACATGTACAATCTATAATGAGAACCAGAAACCGTGGATTTGTCATCTTCTTTTTCTATTATTATAAAATATATTTTTTTCAAATTAAACTATTTATATGAAGTGTCTTGAACTGGGAACTTTGCGTTGATCTCGATATCTGGACTATTGGCACTTTTAATTTAAGTATCAATGCTTGAAACTCTGTTTCCCCTAACTAAAGCTCCCGCCAACCTCTGACTGGGTATGATTACTATGCTGTATATCAAATAAAGATTAGATAACTTTTCAGATTAACAACCAATCAACAAATCAACCAATGATCGTGATATCTACAATATAAGAGTTTCCGGCTCTGAACATTTCTAATACGTTTTCTAATACAATTTACAATTGTTACGTCTAAAAAGTAAAAAACGCACAACCTTTAAATGGAATATAGAAAAATGCCGGGAAAGATAAGATTAATTTATCTAAGTTAAGAGAACTAAGCGAATCTTCAAACAATGTTCAAGAGTTTAAAATGTATTTGAAATTATCGATTAATTATAACTTGCAACTTGACAGTCAAGTAATTTGAAAATTACAAGTAAATAAATTTGAAAAAAAAGAGTAAAATATCTAAGAGATAAATCTGAAAAAGTAATGCACGCAAAATTAACACGAAAAAATAAAAAAAAGGTAGTTAAACGAGGAATACAAAGCTATGAAAAAAAAAGAAAAAATGGAAAATGAGATAATTTTGAAAAATTGATAAAAAAACCGAATTGAACGGAAAACTAGATTCAGTGCTAGATCATTAGAAAGAAAGTATTATTGAAACAAAAACCAAAAAAGAAGGAAAAAAAGAAACATGAAAGTTTAAGCATAAAAAAAAGAAAAAAAGAAAATAAGATAAAGAAGCAAAAAATGGAAGGAAAATTTTAAAAGAAGAAAATTAAAATTAGAAAATTTATTTTTTGTTGAAGTTTTTTGTTTGCATAACTCTTAGTTAAAACATTCCAGATATTTTTTATTAAAATAATTTTCCTTTGGTGGAAAAGTTCAAAATTCAACGAATTTCTGAGAAAAATTCATTTAATTTTCACAATTTGTTTTGAAAATTTAAAATTTCTAAATATTGATCTTACCTGTCTTGATGTACAGGATATGGACCAGCTCCATCTACCGGTCGTGTAGAGGTGGACTACAGCATAGGTAAATCACATATTTATGTACCTTGCACGTTTTTTGTTTGTACCGTAGTTTATGTACAGTATGTTCAAGTACAGTTTGTGTAACCTCCCCTCCCTCCCGTACAAGCTGACATTCTATTATCTGAACTTATTCTTTTATATGACTTTATTACGACTTTTTTGACGTTTTAATGGCTCATTTATAAGAATCAATAGATATAAATTCATGTTATTTTCCATTAATAGATTTGCATATTAGATTAAAAACTGCAAATCTGTAGGATCAAGGTTGAAGAAGATAACCATGTTTTTCCGGCTTGAAATTGATTATTTTTATCGTGGTTTCTCTCCTGAATTAAGTTGCGGATTTTTAAGAAATTTGATATCAAACATGTCATTCAGGGCTAATCATAATCTTATGAAATGATTTTTTATCATGTTTTTTTCTTTTCTATTTATTACTTTTTAATTATTTTTACAAAATAAATAATTGTGTTTCCTTTTTCTTTCTTTTTCTTATTTTCTACATACAACTGCAAACCAACTAGGAGGAGACGGTCAAATTAAATTGATATTACTGTTGTGACTTTGTGACTCCGTTGCTCCTCTAGTTCTGATTTTACGTATTTAAGTATAAAATTTATATATTTATTAGGTAACATATAATAAATTAACAACCTTTTTGTTTTTCTCAACAGTACGGCTGGGCAAAGTTACGTTAACAAAAGGGAGGTTTTCGAAAATTAACGGAAGAGTTGTTAACAAATGGCAAAAACCTTAAATTTTATAATCGGTAACGAAAAGGTTTAGCCGTTTTTTAAAAAAACATTTCGGTTTAAAACTTAAACTAAAAAGCAAAAAACGATATTTTTTCTGATTAAAATTGCATGAAATCTTTTAAAAATTGGAAGATTTTACGCGTTTTAATGTTTCTAAATGTTGTCTTCTGTGTTTATAAACCGTTAACGAAATTATTTTCCACTGTTAACGCTGTTAATACTGTAATATATTATTAACGGCTGTGCTGTTAACAATTTTTTTTAACGTAAACGTAATTTTTTTCTGCCGTTAACGCTGTTAATTTTGTAATAACGGTACCATTAATGAATAGAGCCGTTAACAATTGTTAATTTTCTGTTGACGGTGTGAATAACATTGAGATCGTTAACTAACATTAAGTTTAAAATACGAAAAATGCCGTTCACAGAACAAATCATCAAATGTACCTTTCTATCTTTAAAATTAACGGCTAACTGAAATTTTTATTTGTTAACGGTTGAAACTAAACATTAACGAAACGGCTAGTAAAAGTTGGAACATGTCCAGCCCTACTCAATAGGTCTTCAATAAAATGAGTGATGAAAAAAACACGTAAGAATTCAATTGTACGTTCATTTTACTTTAGTTTGACTTGCTGGAGGTCTGAGAAAGCTGATTATTAATCCCTGGTTTCTATTTCAGATGATTCTGACGGTTGTGCTGAAGTTGATTGTCCCAATGTACAAGAATGTCCTGTGCAACCTTATGTACCACTGGGAGAATGCTGTCCTATCTGTCCGGTACAATTTCAAATATTTTAATTTCACTAGAAATATTTAGAAAACACATTTTAAGCATTGCAAAAAATGATGCCACATCACTAGTCACCTTGTAGCTGATCTAGTTTTGAATTTACGCAGAAGTATGGGGAAAGCAAGTTTATCCGATTGAAAACATATCAGTTTTCAAGATCAGTATTGACAGTAGTGACTAGGGACACATATTTTCATTTATGCTCTTCAGGTTCCCATGGAGACTGTTCGTCCTCGTACTGAGGTTGATGCCCAGGGATCTATAGGGTCTGAGGGGGACCGAGGACGGGAAGGAGATGAAGGGCCTCGAGGTCGACCTGGTTCTCCTGGTATCTCAGGTACCCCTGGTATACCGGGTATGCCAGGACCTCCTGGACCTCAACCTGACATCCAACCTTTCCTCAACCAGATTCAACAATCTCAAGGATCAGAAAAGGGGCCTTCACCAGACCCATTTACATATATGCAGGCTCAGGTAAAAAAGAAACATTAACTGCGCATTTTTATCATATAATTTTCGGACTTTTTCTTAGAAAAGATTTCACGATTTACGGACAGGACTGAATATATATTAATCAAAAAGATCAAAAAACTTTGATTTTTGCTTCGCTGAATTTAAACTTCAAAAGATCAAACATGAATTATGTTTTAACGTTTGAAATGTTGTACTGCAATCAAATTTTCCTAAGCTTTTAACCCTATTTACCCTGCTCAAGGCCTGAGGGGGTGTCAATTTGATCCCCCCCCTTTATCGTTTTTTTTGCGATAACTCAAAAAGTATTTGAGCTTGGAAGCTCCAATTTTCTGACTTTTCCAACTAACACATGCCCATCAATTAAGGCTAAAAGCTGGGCTTTTATAACTACTGCCTGAGTCCTCAAGCATACTGCCCTAATGCCTTATTTTACCTTTACCAGACTAAATCTATATTTAGCCTTACTTCCAGTCATTGGATTGCTACTTTTTATAGCTCTTTGAAATGCCTATAACATAAACAAATTTGGTCAATTTGACCCCCCTCCCCCTCCCAGGGAACTAGTCATGAAACCAGACGTCAGGGTAAATAGGGTTAAAGAATAGTAGACGAGACTTCAAGTGATCCTTCATTCAAAGAGTACCACGACCGATTAACAACATTACCCTTACAAGCTCAACCAGATCAAATGAGACATCCATGTTTTTCTAATTGAATATTAATTTGTTTCATTTATGGGTACTTTCTAAATTGCGAACTTTTGATGTAGAAACAACAGATAATAAAACTTAAAGGGGAAAAAATGACGATATAATTCGAGTTATCGTTCAGGGAAAAGTTTAAAGGGTAACTTAGTGAATCCAGAATCGATCCCCCCTTTTTTAATGGACAGTCATCTTAAATTTCATCTCTAAAAATTAACAAACCTTATCTATTTGTTTATTTGCTTATAAGAATATGGGGACCTGGTATGATCCCAGAGCCGGATGGCTTTTAACTTCTTTAATTAGAAATATTTCCCTCAAAAGATAACACTGTAAAAAGTTAAGAGAAATAAAAAAGGGCTGCAGGGAAAAAATTGTTTGTGAACTTTTTTGGTTTCATAGATATGGAAAGGTGGAAACTTGGTTCTTAAATCTATTTAATCCTATCCTGTCTCCAAGCTAAACAGGAGAATATATATTATCTCTGTTTTCAACCAATAAAAGGTTTAGAATTTGTTGAGAAAAAGATAATAAATAACTTGAAGAAGAACTCTCTAGGACAGACAAGAAGATATATTCAGACAAACGAAATATAATATTTTAAACTAAACTTTAAAATTTAGGTTGGACCCGTGGGACCCAGAGGATCTCCAGGTATGCGTGGACCTGCTGGCCCACAGGGGTTTACAGGTCCTCAAGGAGAACCAGGAGATGCTGGTCCCTCCGGCCCACCTGGCAGTATCGGAGAACGGGGTCTGACAGGGTTACCCGGTAAAGAAGGAGAACCAGGGCGGGACGGAGAACCAGGTGCATCAGGTCCTCCTGGACCCCCAGGCCGGAGGGGACTTCCTGGTATGCCGGGTATCCCAGGTCCTAAGGGACATAGAGGATTTCCAGGTCTTGATGGAGCTAAAGGAGAACTAGGAGGACCAGGGTCCAAAGGAGAAGAAGGAGCCTCTGGGCCAATGGGACCAGGTGGACCTATTGGTCCATCAGGCCCAAGAGGAGAAAGAGGTAGAGATGGGCCTCCTGGTCCCCCTGGCTTAAGAGGTATAGATGGAGCTATGGGACCCCCCGGAGAACCTGGTGGTGTTGGTAAACCAGGTCCACCAGGATTCCCTGGTACTCCAGGAGCTAAGGGAGACATGGGCGCACCAGGAGACAAGGGTAGCATTGGACTTCAAGGTCCTAGAGGAGAGTCTGGAAAACCAGGAATGTCTGGTGAACCAGGAAAGATGGGACCACCTGGTAAAGATGGAAGCAATGGAGAAAAGGGCGGACCAGGAGCACCTGGTGCTCCAGGTCCACCGGGCTTCCCAGGACCCAGAGGACAATCTGGTCTCAATGGAAGTCCTGGACCACATGGACCAAAGGGACTGAATGGAGAGCCTGGTATGGTTGGTATGAAGGGAGAAGGTGGGCTGAAGGGAGAAATGGGAGCCCAAGGGCCAAGAGGTCTACCTGGACCAACAGGAGCAGCTGGAAACAGAGGACCACGAGGCATTAGGGGACCAGCAGGACCTCAAGGACCTATTGGAGAGCCTGGTGCTCCTGGAGGTAGAGGTATGCCTGGACCTGATGGACCTGCTGGTCCAAAAGGCCAAAATGGGGATCAAGGCCTAATGGGTCCTCAAGGGGATAAGGGCAAACCTGGAGATATGGGAAGACCTGGCCCTCCTGGACTTCAGGGTTTGAGAGGACCCCCAGGTAGATCAGGACCAAGAGGAGCAGGTGGGCCAACTGGTAAAACCGGAGAACCTGGACAGGATGGTAAAAATGGAGAACCTGGACCGCAAGGACTTCAAGGTCTTCCAGGTCCTATGGGATCACCTGGAGATAAGGGTCCCATGGGAGAGCAGGGACATCAAGGAAATCCTGGTGTAACTGGTCAACAAGGACCTAGAGGGGACCCTGGTAAGGATGGGCTCCCCGGAATGAATGGCCCACCAGGGCCCTCTGGACCTGCTGGAGAGAGAGGAGCATCTGGAAGTCCCGGACCCAGAGGATTCCAAGGTATGCCTGGACCTCCAGGTAAGGATGGTATGTCTGGTAAGGATGGAGAGACTGGTATCCAGGGTCCACCTGGTATGATGGGAAATGAGGGTAAAAGAGGATCAAGAGGATTCCCTGGAGAGAGAGGATCTCTTGGACCCCCTGGACCCCCAGGACTCAGAGGACTTGATGGTGGTCCTGGTCTAGATGGCCCTCCTGGACCTACTGGACCTAAGGGAACTCCTGGACACAAGGGACCTCCTGGGCTAGTTGGATTGCCAGGGCAGCGTGGCATACCTGGACCTGAAGGACCTAAAGGGGGGCGGGGTAACCCTGGACTTCCTGGACCAGAGGGCAGTGTGGGTAAACAAGGAGAGAGGGGCCCTCAAGGTATTTCTGGACCACCAGGGCCTCCTGGAGAAGCTGGTAGCCCTGGAGATCCTGGACAGGCAGGACCTGCTGGAGAAACTGGAGCTGCTGGAGCCATGGGTTCCCGTGGACCACCTGGACCCCAGGGAATGCAAGGTTTTCCTGGTCCTCCAGGTATACCTGGTATGCCTGGAATCAAGGGCGATCGAGGGCTTACTGGTGACAAAGGGTCCCAAGGAAATCCTGGACCTGCTGGTGGACCAGGAGAGCCTGGACCACCTGGTCTCACAGGTTTAATGGGTCCAAAGGGAGCCAGAGGTGAAGCAGGACCAAGAGGAGAATCTGGAATGATGGGTCCCCCTGGAAGACCTGGAGAACCAGGTATGCCAGGAGAGGCAGGAAGACAGGGTGCGCCTGGACCATCTGGATTACCTGGCATCAAGGGGAGTGATGGTCTGAGAGGACCACCTGGAAACCGTGGTCCACCTGGAGCACAGGGAATGCCTGGTTTAGAAGGACCCAAAGGATCTACAGGAGCTGATGGTCCTCCAGGACCTCAAGGACCTGTCGGCTCAAATGGACCACCTGGAGATAGAGGATCGCCTGGACTTCCTGGACCAACCGGACCAGTTGGGGCTCGTGGACAACAAGGAGCTCAAGGTGAAAGAGGAGATTCTGGATTACCAGGAAAAGAGGGACCAACTGGACCTCCAGGTCTTCAAGGACCTCCAGGACCTATGGGTCAAAGAGGTGAAAGAGGAGAAGAAGGGCCTCCTGGATCACAAGGAACACCTGGCTTGGGAGGAAGACCTGGAGACAAAGGTCCACCTGGATCTGCTGGACAAATGGGACCACCAGGAGCTCCTGGACTTCCTGGAAATGTTGGTAAGACTGGACCACCTGGACCTACTGGAGAGAGAGGTGAAAGAGGAGAAACTGGACCTCAAGGAATTGTTGGTCAGCCAGGAATGATTGGGAAACCTGGACCACCAGGCCTTCAAGGACCTCCTGGAGAACTTGGAATGTCTGGTGAAAAAGGCTCCAAAGGACATAGAGGACTTATTGGGTTGCAAGGTCTTCCTGGACCAATTGGTCCGCCAGGGGAGAAAGGACCTCCAGGAAACCCTGGAAATAATGGTGAACCTGGAACACCTGGGTCTCGTGGACCACCTGGTATTGATGGAGCTGTTGGATCCCCTGGTCTCCTTGGAGCACCAGGCCCTAGAGGACCTCAAGGAGAAGAGGGTAAACGTGGACCTCCTGGAGAGCTTGGTCCACCTGGACCACCTGGACCTCCGGGAGAATCCTCAGGATATGATGCTGCAGCTCTTTCTGCTTTGTTAGGACAAGGAAATTCTAAGGGACCAGACCCACTGAGTGCTGATGAACCAATGAGAAACTTTGGTCCTGAACTCTCGGATGAAGACAAGAAAAGCCTTGTCCTAAGAGCTTACAAGAAGTTAAAAGCTTCCTTTGAAGAATTTTCCAATCCTGATGGAGGCAAGAATAGTCCTGCCAAGACATGTAAGGACCTCCATGCATCTTATCCGGAGAAGAAAAGCGGAGAATATTGGATTGATCCTAATGGAGCTGACACCAAGGATGCCATCCTGGTTTTCTGTGACATGGAGAAGGATGCAACATGTGTTCAACCCAAGCCTGTTTTCTCTCAGGAGTTCAATATAGAATCTGAAGAGAAGGAAATATGGATTGGAGAGGTCCCAGAGAGCCCCTTTGACATCAACTACAAAGCAGACAGCAACCAGATGAGTTTCCTTCAACTTCTGTCTGCCAAGGCAGAGCAGGAGATTATCTACCATTGCTTCAACTCCTTTGCCTTCGAAAACATCAGAGGCAACAACAGAAAGTCCTTGGCGTTCATGTCATGGAACGATCTGGAAATCAAGCACAGAGGAAAGTTCAAGTATGACGTGATATCTGATGGATGCAAGGACAAGAACAACAGTTGGGACAAGACGGTGTTCCGTATAGAGTCTCAGAAACCAACCAGGCTTCCAGTTGTTGACGTCAAGGTTCAAGATTTTGGAAATCCATCACAGAAATTCAAATTGGAGATTGGGCAAGTCTGCTTCAGTTGAGGTAAACACAAATTAAAAATAACAACATTTACAATTATTTAAAAATTTCAAAGAACTGTACACAGGAATCGGGGCCACTGCAGGAGCAGAGTAATAGCCGACATTTTCCTATATTATGGGAGACCTTAGCCTCTTTTCAATACTTTGTATTCGCCCTAACATCAAGATCAATATATTAGTTTATTATTATTTCGAAACCTTTATCAAAATAGCAGTCCTAATTTTTGCCATATTTTATCTAAAATTGACAAAAAGTCTAAAATACATTTATTTCTGGATTAAAGTAATGTAGTAAAAGCGTAAAAACAGAAAATATTATCTTCTATATTTGATATTTCATGTCCCATTGACTTTTATAAACTGATGCCTATTTCATTTCTTTTTATAGAGAAGAAATGTAATTTATTGAAATATGAAGGATCTTACAGAAATCAAATGGAATCAAACAGATTTTTATTTTCTTTAAAACTTGATGGTGCATAAAGATTCAATATAAACTGCAAATATCTTCAGAGCTATCACTTAACTCTCATTAAAACTAACCTTATCAATAGGATATTCAGTTGGTCAATACATCTGATATGAAATATTTTAAATTTGCTCAGAGTTGTCAGGAATCGCTAAATTTCTCTCATTTCCCCCACTTCCCCAGTTACGAGGTTGAAAACTTGTAATTCTGCATAAAATAAACTTCTTATGTGGAGATTTGCATGAGAAATATATCTGCAGTCGGTATCATTAACGTTTCTTATTCTCCACAAAGGTTCATTTAGTCGGATCATAGCTTTGTAGATCGGATAAGATAAGTAATTGTTGATTTTTAGTTTTGAGAACAATGACTTTGTTCTCAATAACCTCTTTTTTTAAACTGCATTGTGAACTTCAATTGAGGTGTTTTACAGAACAGTAAAAAAACATAAAAATTTGGAATGTGAAGACGACTTTTAGACACAAATTAAGACTTTAATAGTCCATTGATCAGGAGACACAGAAGTTGTACAGTGCAAACAGAACCATTTTAGTTAATAACTGATTAGACAAGTTACTAGACGAGTTACTAGTAAAACTTTTTGCTTTGTAAGTTTTAACACTGTAAAGTACCTTAATTATTGCTTGAATGTTGTCCTCCTATTCAACAGTTTTCTGGTTCTCACTGTACAGATTCAAATATACTCAGCTCACTTGGTCTATTCAACAGTTTTCTGGTTCTCACTGTACAGATTCAAATATACTCAGCTCACTTGGTCTAATCCAAACAATAATTCAACCAATAATAAGAAACCAATGAATGTTCACCTTATGCAAGATTAAAAACGTTTTTTTGTTAAAAAAAAGCTGTGAAAAAACCTTATAAGATTAAAATGCTAGAATTAAGAAGAAAATAATAGGAATACTTAGCAGTATCATATTAGGGCAAAAAAATTTAGATTAAGTTTAAAAAAACCAAAACATATTTATCAACGTCCTGGAAACAGAATGTTTTTAAAAACGTTCTACCATATTTATTTCTTTTATTCTAATTTTCAAATTCTAATTATTAAATATATATATTTCAGGTTTCTACCAAACAAGAAATAGTGAACTAACTTACTAACCAACCAACCATAACCCAGATGGTTTAAAAGGACTGGAGAATATGGTTACCCATGTAAACGTTGCAATCTCCCTCATTTATTGCTTTATTATTGCAACCTCCTGCAACTTTAAGTTACCAAATTTTCACCGTTATATCTTCGGCTTGTTTTTGTAACTAAGAACACAATTCTATGTAATGTTTTAATTTTGTAATTCAACATTACAATTAAATTTGCATAATTACTTAATATCGTATCACTGCCACCTTCGTAGCTAATGAAAATAGTACAAGAATTCTATTGGTTGATAACACAAGTGGCAGGGTTCGCTTAATCTTTGATTGTTTCTCAAGACTGTGATATTACTTTGTACTTAATGTAACATGGCGATGTAGTTTGTAATATTTAGTTTGTAATATTTAGTTTGTAAGTTAAGATCTCATGGTGTTGTCTTTTTTTTACAATGTTTCATAGTTTTATATATATATATGTATTAGATTTAAGATTTTTACAAATAAATTGTTTTATGAAAAATAAATTTAGGATTAAAATGACTAAACAGAAAAAAAAAGAATATTGAAGCAAAAGGGATAAAGTTGGTAAATGGTTAAAGAGTTAAAAAAGTTAAATGAACACTATCCCTGCTAGGCTGGGGGTACTTGAAAACCAGGATACGCTGGGGGGTACTGTATATGGAAGTTCAAGTAACCCTTCAGTAATATAATGTGGCCTTTAATTTCCTATTTTTAACGGTCCTGAGGCCGAATTAAAAGAATTTGAGCCGCGGCTTTAATTGGAGACGCAGCTCAAATATGGTTGGTTCCACTAAACCTTATTTATCCTGACGTCTGCTTCAATGACTGGTTCCCTGCCAAAAAAAACGGCAAATTTGCAAAAATGCAAATATTTATTGCGAAATCTAGTTAATTAGAAAAAACTGCTCAAATTGCAACAAACTAAACATTTTTGAAAAGCTTTGACCCAGCGAATTCAAATATGCAAAATCATTTGCAAAATTATTAAAACCTGAATGTGTATTCAAGAAAAACTGAAAATGTGAAAATTCCCTGTAATGGCGTCTGTGCAAAAATCTGTGCAAAATTTATTTGCAAAAACTGTGCAAACTGGTTGCTTTTATTATAGGCTTTCTAAAGAGCTATAAAATGTTGAAATACATTAATTGGAAATAGGCCTAAATATATATTTATTCTGGTATAGGTAAAATAAGGCATTTAAGCAGTACGCCTGAGGGCTCAGGCAGAAGCTATAAAAGCTTTAAGCTTTTAGTGATGGGCATGTGTTGGTTAGAAAAGTCGGAAAATTTGAGCTTCCTAGCTCAAATACTTGCCCCCCACCCCAGAATAAATAGAGTTAAAATTGTATTCAAGATTTCAAGATTTAGGCCAGCACTGAATTGAAACCGGTTTTTGGCGGATTTGAGACGAGGCTTAAATTCATTCATTTCGGATTCAGAACAGTTTACATCTTGCAAATTGCTTTAAATATTTCTCGAAAATCTCGAATTATCTTAGACGAACGCGTTTTGTTTTGTTCTGCGACTCACGGATAATGCATGCGTAAATTATACAATTTAGCCCAGAACTTTAAAGACATCGAAAGAATTTATAAAATGTCGTTTTATAAACCTGCTAGTCTGATAATGAAATTTTGCAGATATTTAGTTTTTAATTGAATAATTATATGAAGGCCTTTAAAACTGTTTCCCGCATATCAAGGCTATTTAGTAACTTTGAACATTACTTAGATTTAGGCATAATAGAATAAAACCAATCAAAACATTGTCAAGACAACATTTTATAAATTCTTTTAATGTCTCCGAGGTTCTAGATTCAGCTGGAGTACTTTATTCTAACATTAAAGAGAAGTTTTCCTTGTGAACAAACCACATGACGTAGAACTTATTATATTTCAAATTATGACTTCTGCTAGTGCAAATCATCGTAGTTATAAATATCAATGATTTGAACAATCAGGTTGTAGAGATATAGGGATGAGACAATTTAAGTTTGGTGTTAAGACTATTCATTTGCTTGTTATTAGTATTTTGGACTAATTATAAATACAATACTTACGATGCAGTTCTTGTTTTTAGTGGAAACAAAATAAAAGAGAATGAGACCAAGAGAAATATCTGCTGAGTAACATCTGCTGAATAATATCTGCTGAGTAATATCTGCTGAGTAATATCTGCTGAGTAATATCTGCTGAGTAATATCTGCTGAATAATATCTGCTGAGTAATATCTGCTGAGTAATATCTGCTGAGTAATGGTGGTTTCCCGCACTCGAATATTATTGGTCCATTCAGAAACTGCAATGAAAGGTTAATTTAAACTTATGTATATATGGTTAAGGTTTAACCATACACGGCCACCCGTAGTACATTTGAATTTCCGAGCCGGGTCAACCTTTCCGGTTTTAGTTTGTACTGTACATAGCTCTATGGATATGACTAGCCGGTGCAACAAGGTTGACGCTGTCAGACTTTATGCTTCATATAGTTGAATTTACTTTTACTAAAGGGGCAGAGGTGCGTACATATATATTATTACAAATATACACTAGCTTGGGAACCCAGCTTTGCCTGGTAACTAAACTTTTGCTATAGATATTTAACAATTTCAATTTTGTTTAACCAAACTAAGAACATTCCCACGGTTCAACCGTGTTCCTTTACAAACTTTGTGGCAAATAGGTCAAGGGGATTTATGATATATGATCAGACACATGTACAAACAAACAACCTGGTATAACAAAAGTTTCAATGGTTCAAAACTTTTTTTTAATTATTCGACAATTCCGTTCACGATTATAGTTTTTTTCCTGATGAGTATCGTAATGAAACCCAGTATCGGATCTCGGTGTCGTGCATACGGTCAAACAGATTTTTTGTTTACTAATTTCTTAAATTAAAATTTACGCAAATATCTAAACTCCTAAAAGGAAACTCGGGAGCAAGGAACTATATACAGGAACGCCAAACTCAGATATACGCAACTTGTTAACTGTACTGTACTCTGTGAGAGGAATGTAAACAAACCCAGTGCCCCCACAGAAGTTGAAGGGAAAAGACCACAGCTCTGATGTGATATTACAGTCCAACAAAAAACAAGTTAATATATCAAGTTAGAGCGAATAATTATGATTATTGGCTTTCTGGTTAATAGCAATATATTCTTATTCCACCCCTTGGGCCCTTTTCCCTCAAAAATGATGCGTTGCCCCTGAATTCTTTGTTTTGATCTCCTCCCACTGCAGTGCACAGATTTGTCGCATCAGATAAGGCGGTTCCTGGTCTATATATTTTCGCTATAAAAGTCAACCTACTTAACTTTTAATCTCAAACCCATGCTAATACCATTCCCTTGGGCCTTCCGAGTTCCCAAACCAAAATTCGAGGCAAATCGGTCGAGGGGTTCCTGAGTTTTGAAAATATATGTTTAAACATCTAAAATGTTTATTAAAGTTGAGAATACCGTATATATATTATATGTGTAGATAATATGTAAGGTTGAGTGGTCAGGTTTGTATAAAAGTTTCACTGTTCAGTAAAATACAAGGAGTATAGAATAGAAGGGAGTTACAACTGACGTTGCCCGCCCTACCATATGGTTACACATGCTTTGCAGACGGTACTTCATTTGTGTAAGAAATATTCAGAATAGATTATTGTATACCCGGTAATTGTACATCGGACAAATATTTCTTATTCAAATAAAGTACCGTCTGCAAAGCATGTGTAATCATATGTTAGGGCGGTCCGCGTTAGTTGTATCTCCCTTCTATTTTATACTCCTGGGTAAAATACAGTGAATATTGGTTCACTAACTGTAACATGTTTATCTATCTATCACTATCTATCTATCTATCTATTTATATTACAGTTTACTCCAATCCTCACCTTATTTACCGTGTTAGTTTAAACAATACCTGTGTCCTAATCGCACATTTAGACCACTCAACCATATATATATAAATATATTTTACTTACTCAAGTACCAGGCGTTGCCCGTGAAATCTCAAAAATAGTCCATATGCCGGCAGAAAACGACCGACGAAATTAACAATTAATTAAACTCTGAAAATAACTCAGAAATTGGATAATTGGAAATCGGCGAATCAATTTAAATTCAATCAATGTGAAATCAATAAATCCTTTAAAAGTTTTAGTTGACTTTATACAAAATACGCAATTAAGAAATTAGCCGGATTTTTAATAAAATTTTCATTTTCTAAAGAGTTAAATATACAACAAATGCATGTCCTAATACAATATAATGTTTTTGAACGGGGGTTTGAAACTTTTAATGGATTAAAAGAGAAGGTTCAGGCCTGGTGATTTTTGCAGAAATATAATAAGAGCTCAATGCAAACTTGTTTTAATAATTGCAGACGTAATTATATTTATAACACTATAAGCTCAAGTAAATTGCGTGTAAGATTGAAATCTTTAATGTTTTTAATTAAAAACTCCTCTTTTAATGAACAAACATGTTTAAAATAGCGAGGACTTTACATGAGCTCAGAGGTCACAAAGCTGTATAAGTAATGTCCCATTAATCTAACCTTCTTCTCCTGGTTAGTTTACAGTAATAACACTATTATACAAATAACATTATAATTTTGGTTTTGTTAAGTTATTGAACAGAAATGTTCTCTTACAGTAAAGGTTCAACCCTTTTTTGATTATATTTTAATTTTTGTTCCGAGCTTTAGCGAGTTACAAAAAGCGAGAAAAAAATCAGTTTTTACTCGACCATGTTTTTTTTCAGAAATTATCTCGGACGTTTGACAAAATGAAAATTTGAAAATTTATTAAAATCAAGATAAAAGATGAGCGCTATGTACTATGTTAAATCTTCACTAAAATCCTTGAATATGCATCGACATGTCAGAAATTTGCCGAATATTTAAATTTCCCTCTTATTGTAAGATCACATCACTCCCTTTTTTATTCAAATCAGGGGCCTCATATAAGGGGGGGGGGCTTATCAATTTTGACATTTTGGGTGGAACTGAATCCCCTGGAAATCATGGTTTCACCTTTTCCAGGATGGGGAGGCTGAGGGGCCTAGCTCCCATAGCCCCCCCCCCTATTTATATTCACCCCTGAGTCAAATCCAATAATCCATATAATCCACCTGGTACAAAACCAGGGTAGGCCCAGCATGTTCAATATTCACTAAAACTTCTACATATTAAAAAGGGACAACTTATGATTTGGAAAAAAAAATTTATTCAATCTAAAAAATCGTAGAATCCAAAAAAAGTTCAATACAGAAAAATGTTTCGATCACTAAGAGTCGAGAAAATTTCTTAAAATTCAAAAAGATTCTTTTCCCCAGTGTTTACTTATACTTTGTAAGCATAAAACTCTGAATTTAACTTGTTATAACTTTAAGTTTGAGTTTTTACAGTTTTCACAGGTTCGTATTGGACCAACAGGGAGTAAAGATACACAAACACTTAAATATTTAAATCCTGTGAGAAAAGAACAATTTTATCATGTGAAATGTAGACTAAAAACCTTTTACATTTTGTTAACTTTCTCAAAAGATTTCGCATATTTTTTCGTTTTAAAAATTGTTCAGAGTTTAACTTTTCTTTCACTGTTAATGTAATAATAAGTGACCTCCATGAAAAGAAGGCTCAGCCCGATTTACAATGGTACCTTTCAGATCAAGTATGGGATTGATATCATTAATATAGTTTTGAATTTTTTCAATAAAACTCTATTAAACCTATAAATTTTTAAAACTTAGAACTTTCAACCCTCCAAGGTTCCGCATTGTACATGGAGTGTTACTTTGTATTACCATTTTAAATCAAATTTTTCAAAATTGAGACTTTTCTTTTTCTTCCAAAATCTTCAAATAAAATTAAATAAGTTTTTTCCTCATACAACTGAATAAATTCAAATTTCGCGAATCTTTTAACCCATTCCCTAATTCTAAAAAGACTAAAATCCCTTTATTTTGTTACAACAATAAGATTTGTTTTCTTATTTCAGAAAATGTATTTTTGGTTAATCCTATTGTGTTCAATTTTTCTGAGTTCAGCGGAGGAGGAAATTCAAGAAAAAACACTGAGCTCAGGATGGAAAACTTTACTCAGTAACGTTTTTGAAGAGGTATTTTTAAGATGATCTTAGTTACTAGGGGGGGGGGGGCATTGATACATCCATAGAGTATTACTCTATAGGATACATCTTAAAGGAACGGAAAAAATTCAGTTTTAACATTTAAAAGCAAAAATTGCGACTTCATCCTAAAGAAACTTTTTACGCTTAATTGCCCACTAATGTCTAGTCTATATAAAAAGTATGCGTGGCTTGTAAGTCTGTTTTCTGAAAAAGTCAACCGGCTAAACCGATCAGGCCCATGGGAAGTTTTATGGTATTTAAAAAGCGATTTTAAAGTTTTATAATTTACGAATAAACAATGGCAGTAAGATTTACACGAGGGGCGTGAAGCGCCCTGATAAACTTGTGTTGATTTATGTTAGCATATATTACATCATTGACAGTGGACACGTATATAGTCTTTTCTTTCTTATGAGTAAAAAGGTTTAAAAACAAGAATTGAAAAAAAAACAAATAAGAAATTTTGGAAAGATTTATTCTCTCAAGTGCATTAAACCTTTAGGTCTCTAAAGGTGGAGTATTTAAAAACAAACCAGGGATATTGAGAGATAAACTAAGAACCATTCGAGGAAGAGAAAAAAAACTTTTCGATTAGAACCATTTAAAGGGACTGTAAGCGTAACATGATTTGAACCATTTAAAGGGACTGTACGCGAAACTTGAAGTAACCCTCCAATCTCCAAGCAAAGATAGTATAATGCCCAATTCCCGACGGTATCTACTGCAGGAAAACATAAAGAAATTATTAGAATAAAACACTTTTAGACCTAGAGTAACGACAATATCTTCCACGCTGTTGATCAGAGAAAGGTTTAACGTTATCCGTTGTCTTCTTGCATGAATTAAAAAGATTGCCTTGAAGACAAAGTAAAGCTAGAAAAAATGATGGAGGGGTGTCCCACAGTCCCATCTGATACCTCTAGGGCTCTATATAAAACTTCCAAGTGCGTATAAGTATTAATGAAGTTACTGACTTTTAACTTATTTAGTAAACACAATTTCCTCCTTTTTTTGGAAACTCAATGTCAATGAGTTTTTGGCACAAACTTTTGTTTTTAATTCCTGTATCTTTGCAACCCGATGCCGCAGACCTGAATTTGAAAATCTAATCAATCAGGTTGCAAAAATATAGGGATTAGAAAATATGATTTCATGGCAAAACTCAGTTTCTTTCCTATTTAGATTAAAAACATCCAAATCAAAGTTTTTGTAGCATTCGCAGAAGATCTCGTAGGTTAAATTTCTGAAATAATAATACTCCAAGGTTTCGTCAGGTTAGCAGAGGGACGGAGATTTATATAAAACCCTCTTCTCTCAGAGATAAATGGAAAATGTTATACTCCACCCGCCCATCCACTCTTAAACAGAAAAAAATGAGACATTTTCCATTTATGTTTATGATACCTCTTTATCTCAATCTTTTCATTACCATGATATTAAGATAGATAGATAGATAGATAGATAGATAGATAGATAGATAGATAGATAGATATATAGAAAGATAGATAGATAGATAGAAATAAAGATATATAAATGAAAGTATCAGTTTATTAATGATACCTCTTAATCTCAATCCTTAGAGAATAGATACATAGATACGCCCATGGTACTAATGCAAGGAAAGGTATTTCATAGGTGTACGCATTTTTTGTACTGCAGTGTACTGTCTTTAGGCGGAAAATTAAACACAAGACGGATGTCGAAGCCTGACATGATCTCAGGAAACTATTAAGTGAATTTTCAAAATTATCAAAATTAAATATTTTTATCCTCCTCTGATAATAGAAGAACCCTGCATGCATCTATTCTTGTTTACAAATTACGCCCAGAGAGAACTGGTTTCAATATGTACGCAGGGTTTACGCAACCGCAATTATCTTTCCTTACATTAGTACCTTGGATACGCCTATAAGTGGATAGATAGATAGATAGATAGATAGATAGAAAGAGATAAAGAGAGTATGAGTTTTTTTAATACTTTGAGAATACAGCCTTGCACGGACACAATATTTCCGCTAAAAACATTAACGTGGTTTTCTGTACAATCAAAATTTGAAGCAAATCGGCCAAGGGGTTGGCGAGTTATAATTGAACACACAGACAAACAGACACCCAGACAGAGATTAATACTGTATACAGTGATAACCAGAAAACTCTGAAATAAGAAGACGACTTTTTAGCAATACTTAAGTGTCTTTGATGTTTTAACAAAGCAAAAATTCTTACTAGACACTTATTAAATCACAAATTAAATTGTATGGGTCTGTTTACAGTGCACAATTGCCGTATCCTATGCATATTGAACTGTTTAATGTCATAAATGCAGTCTATAAGTCTACATACCTGCATCATTCTAATTCTTAAACTATATATAATTATAAAGATAAGATAGTCATATTTATAGACAGAAGTATAGATAAATAATAAAGAAGATATGAAATTAATGAAAAACTGCATAGTAAAGTGACGAGGTCACATGGTCAAACTATTAATTCTACAAATTGTGGATTTGGTTCGATAGTATTTTATGAGGAAACAAAACTTAGGTTCTACATGCAGTGAGCCCCGGGTTGGACCCCTAAAACCCCCCCCCCCCTCCCCCTCAAAAAAAAACTGTAAGAAAAAGATTTGTCTTTTTTAAAAAAAAAATCTCTGTCTTTTTTATCAACTATCTCTATTTCTGCATGAATTGCTGTCAATATGTGAACAGGCTGCTGAATGTTGATCCCACATGTGTTTAAAGCAAGGAGTATGAAATAAAATGGAGGAGGGGTTGACCTGTACCGCCTTGAGGGGTCGACCTGTACCACCTCGAGAGATCGACCTGTACCGCCTCGAGAGGTCGACCTGTACCGCCTCGAGAGGTCGACCTGAACCGCCTCGAGGGGTTGACCTCGCCTCACATTGTTATACATGCTTTGCTGAACTGTACTCAATTTGGAAAAGGATTTATAAAGGTCTTCTTTTTATTTTTAAACTGTGGTTTTTAGTGTACCAAATAAATGAATTGATTTTTTTGTTTCAAAGTTTACCTAAGCGTTGCCAATATTTGTGGGTTATTCAGCCGACTTCTCTGCCTGATGTATAATGTAAATACAATGACCTAATCTAAAAACAAGAACGTTGCGTGTGTACATCAAATAATACATAGTTGGTGTCATACATTTTGGTTTATTAAAAATCACATTTAGAAAATAAAAAAACGACCTTTGATAAATCTCTTTTCCAAATGGAGTACCGTGTGTTTATTAGCATGTTAAATCATAAAGCGGACCGGGTCAACCCCTTCTCTATTGTAATTCATACTCCTTGGTTTACAGACAAACTTATGACCTACATAAGGTTATTCATAACAAAATCTTCATTTATTTATTCTTGTCTTGCAACTCTCAAAGCTTAACCCAGATGTGTCAAATGTGTGAAAAATTGTTTTAAAAACATATGAAAATTTAAACACACCATAGTGTACAGAGCATTTAATTAGCTAACATTTGCAAAATCAATATTTTTGTATTAATTCATCTTACAATAATGGCAAAAGTATATTTTACGTTGTTTAAGTCCTTTAACTGTTAAATTGTTGTGTGACCTTTTTTATTGAACAGGTAGAAAGACGACTGGTACTTGAAGTGTTTATGTCTGGTACGATATTGAAGATGGGGAGGGACGACTTTAACAGAACATGTTTATGTCTAGGACGATATTGAAGAGGGAGAGGAACGACTGGAACTGAAAATGTTTTTGTCTAGGACGATATTGAAGAGGGAGAGGGACGACTTGGGTTCGTCCAACTCAACTCAGGATCTACGAGCTTTAACACTACACTTAATCTTACAGGTAGCTAATTCACTTTAAAGAATTAAAGAACAGAAATTTTTGAACATTTTTTTTGATGATCTTAAGAAGAAAAATTGCGACCCAAATGTTTATCCAAGATGTATTTAGAAATAACTTTTTTCAAGAAAATGCATAGAGACCTGATTAAATAGTTTCAGATTAATCTGTCAAAATATATTTGCAATAGCTAGTTTTATCATGAATAATTAAATACCTTTAATATAGCATCACTACAAAACAACGTAGAATTTAAAGCAATATGCAGAACAAGATAAAAAACTAAATGGCTGTTTCTAATTCTGGAAACAATAAAGGATCAGTACTCCAGAGCTATCAAAAGAAGGATTAGTGAAATAAAATTGTGTTTTGAATGCCTCAAAGAAATTCATTTGAACCAGGTCCACAGGCCGCTAAACAAGGCACGGGCAGCCGTAGTACATTTGAATTTCCGAGCCGGGTCAACCTTTCCGGGCTCAGTTTGTACTTTACCTAGCTCTATATGGACAGGACTAGCCGGTGTAACAAGGTTGACGCGGTCAGACTTTATGCTTCATATAGGTTCAATTTACTTTTACTAATAGGCTACAGGCCGCTAAACAAGGGCATTATTTTCTAAATAAACAGTTTCATTAACAAGCGAAAACCCCGTTAGTTTTCACATTTATACTAAACAGAATGAACGAAAAAACGGATTCTGTTTGAAGATAATAACAAAATTCGTTAATTTTCATGATTTAAATTGCGTTTCAAAAATTGTGAAAATTTATCAGCACAAAAAGTTCGAACGTGCTCAGTCCTAATCTAGACACAATTTGTACAATAATCGGGAGAGCAACATTATTTTTCAGGGCGTAACGTAACAACCCTCTCTGTCTCTCTCTATATATATATATCCATAGACACAGTGTTTCGTCCTATTAGGACTCATCATATATATATATATATATTTATCTTTGATTAGAACAATAACATCAATATTGTTTTATTATATTTCTCATGTCATAAAACAAAAACTTTTAATGGAAATACTAAACAGTTGGAAATATCATTCTACATTTTTAAGACTGAATAAAAATGAGATGTATGATTCCAAAATAAAATAAAACATATTGTCTTATTGTTTCATTATCGAAAGTTAAGAAATATTTTACGTAAAAAAGTCCAATTTAATAATTATTGAATGGACGGAACAGTTAACAGTTTTAATCCTTTATATGCAATTAGCTTGGGAACCCATTGCTGCCCAGAGTCTAAAACGTTCATGGTTAAATTCCACTTCTGACTTAATTTAAACCTGAACTTTAACCGTCAGGTTAAATATTTAACCCTGTGGTTAAATATTTAACTCGCCGAAATCGACAAGTTAAAATTTAAGCACAGGGTTAAAATCTTGAAATCCCGCAATCCCTATTTGTCTATCATAAAAACCTTGTTTAATAAAATTTCACGTTTTAGATTAATTAATGTTTGCACGTAAACCCAAAATACGGTTGTAACTCGAAATATGTTTTGTTTTCCGTCTCGTAAATAATTTAAAATTAAAAAAACAGCTGATTACCTAATACCGATACTTCTCCGTAAATCCTTTTCTCTGATTGGTTCAGATTTTCCCCGGGAAATTCAAATTTAAAATTGAGAAAGTTTAATATTCAAGTAGCTACTCATTATTTTACAGAACTTTTAACCTCAAACTTAAAATTCGAGCATTCTTTAGTAGACTCAGGTTACTAAAAGTTACTCCCGCCATTTACCCGCACTAGAACGATTTTACCGGGAAACTGAGTTTTCGCTATCTAAGTCGACTTACTCAACTTAGAATCCTAAAACCAAGCTAGGAACATTCCCGGCGTGGGTCTTCCGAGTTCCTCAATCAAAATTTTAGGCAAATCGGTCCAGGGGTTCCCAAGTTATGATCGATCGAGATACAACCTCTGTATTCGTTGTATCGTACAGATACAACTTGCTCTAGAACTCCACATTCTATAATAATTCCTAGGTCTGTATCAACCCTGATAAGACAATTTTGTATTCTTTAATATGTATCTGTCTTTCAAGACTCTGACTCTCATCAATAATACTCAATCTCTAACAATCCAGATAAGGCGTGTTGTATTCTTTAGTATGTATCGCTCAGATACAACTAGCTTAATCTGTAACCCGGATACAACTCTGTCTTTCTTAATGTGTATCCCTAATACACAGAGCTAACTCTTTGCTTCTCTACAGTCTACACTAGAATTAATGGGGGTGAAAACGCAATGAAGCAATGATTCATGGTTAACTTATGTAGATTTGAGTTTTATGGTACTAGTTAAATTAATGAACTTAATTAAGCTAAATCGTAATACATGTAATGATAAGAGTTATTAACAAGCGTAGTTAGATTACAGATAATGTACAACGTAATATAAATATGGGGTTTACTACGATATTTATTAAATATATGTAGATACTGCTGCTCTATAGCAATAAACTTAGATTTTAACCCTATCTTGGCTGGGCTATTAACCCTATTCCTGCTGGGGGGGGGGTCAATTTGACCCCCCCCTGTAGTTTTATTTACATAACTCAAAAAGTATTGGTCTGAGGCTGTTGAAATTTTCTGACTTTTCCTACATACCCAAAGCCATCCCTTTAAGCCTAAAACCGGGCTTTAATACTAACTGCCTGAGTCCTCAGGCACACTGCCTGAATGACTGTTTTTTCCTGTAACAAACTAAATCTTTGTTTTGACCCACTTTCACTTGTCAGATTTTGATAAAATTTAGCTTTTTGGAAAGCCTATGACATAAGGAAACAGATTGCACAAGTTTTGCGAAAAAAAATTGCAACTTTTTTGCAAACAACCTGTCAAAGGAAATTTGCACATTTTTAGTTTTTCTTGATTAAAAATCAGGTTATTTAAAATTTTGCAAAAATGTTTGCATATTTTAAATGGCATGGTCAAGGGCTTTTCAAAAATGTATAATTTTTCATTTTTTGGACAAATTTTTACTATTTAACTGGATTTTGCGATAAAAAATTCAATTTTTGCAAATTTGCAAATTTTTTTGCAGATTCTAAAAGTAGAGCACAAGAGCTTTCCAATGATGTAAGATTTGTCATATTTGGACATCAAACATGGGATTTAGAGGGGGGGGGGTCAAATTGACCCCCCCCATATCCTGGTTTTCAAGTACCCCAGCAGGGATAGGGTTAATATGAATTTCAATTTCAACTATATTTTCAACACGCTGAGGCTGAGCCGAACATTTAAGAGAGTTACCTTTCTGGTATCTTAACATTAGCGTAGATTTGAATTTTAGGAATCAAAAAAAAAATACTGGATTTCATGACAATACATTTTTTTAAGTTTCTGACTCTGGATATATTATATTTAAGATGAAGCGTATACCTGGTCCATGCAGTGCTATGCAAAAGTTACTTTTCTTTTTGACCAAATTATATTTTATTGTATTCTGGTTAGTTGGAAAATTAGATGTGGTAAACCATACTGAAGAATAGTTGAACCATTAAAAATAAATACTCCACCCACGGCATTAACTGCTAAAATTTCAACGAATGCATGAATATATGTGTAGCAATCAACTTATGCAATTTTTGGCATTGTTAAATTAATAAAATAGCCTAACTGAAAATGAACCCAGTCAGAGGCGTATTCAGGGGGGGCTATGGGGGCTAAGCCCCTCCCCTGGACTAGTGATATCTATTGATTTCAGGGGATTTGCAGGCCCCATCGGATGCTGAGCCCCCACCCCCCCACTGGGAAGACTAAAAATGTAAGCCCCCCCCCAACAAATTCCTGAATACGCCCCTGAACCCAGTTCAATGTAAGCTTGATATTATTTAATATAGGATTATTATTAATCAATCTAGTGGAAGACACAGGGTTACCCACAAAGGATAAAACTTCAGAGACGACATCCTGTCTGTTTCATGCAACTTTAATCTTGTTTTTTTTTGGTTGTACAATTATAAAATAGGCAATTAAAAGACTATACAAAGAGCAGGAGACTTAATCTAATCTTTGGATCCACATACTTTAACCCTTTAAAGACTGGAGGTCTAAATCTATGTATAGTGTGGGGGGGGGTGTTTGGCGCAACCCCCGCCCCCTAGAAAAAGGCAGCTTATTGAAACAAAAATTAGACCGATAACTTTAACAGTTTGGGTGCTAGGGAGGGTTGAAAAAATGCCTGAAAAGTGTCAAAAAAGTGAGGAATTTTTTTTTAAAAACAAATATTAAAGTGTGAAACATGTTTCTTCATTCATTTCTTCATTCAAGGGCTTTTTAAAAATATAGTTTTTATATCTGTAGCTTTAGTCACAAAAGAAGTTATGGGCTATTTTAGATTTTTTTTTCACAGACCAGACTTTTTTCAAAAGTAAACCCAACCAGATAAATAAGCTCTTTCAAAACAAACAAAAAAAGAGTATCTTCCAAAAAAATTTATATATTTTTTTATATTTATAAGATATCTTATACATTAGTTGATTCATGAATTGTCACTTAATATTATTTTTATGTTATAAAAAGAAGAAAAAATGTTTAGGTCCTATACTTCTTGGATTAGGTATAGCTGCAGCCACACTATTCTACGCTTACTTCAACGCATTTCAAGGGTAAAAAATTTTATTTAAAATATTAAATCAATTTGCCCAAACACTAACCTTTCTGTAATTCTTTTTATCAATACATTTCTATAAAGAAATAATACCTATTTATGTCATTGTAATGGGTATTATTATAGTGCGAAAAAGTGTTTGCCGGGATTTTTATTTTTTCTAGTTTGTTTAAGATCAAAATGAAAATACTTTTATCTTGATCAAAAACAAACTGGAGAAATTTAAAATCAAGCAAAAACTTTTTCGCACGCATGATACCCATTTCAATAACATATACAGTTTTATACAGTTTTACTCAAATCATTTAAAAGCCGGTCGATAAAGTTACTTAATCACCCTGTAGGGTGATTAAGTAACTTTATCTCCCTACAATGAGACAAATTAGGTATGAAATTTGAAATTTTAATAGCAGGGTGAAAAATTTACTTTTTCGCCCTGTTGTAGGTCGATTTTCCTCAAATTTGATTGAGGAACTAGGGAGATCCGAGGGAATGTTCTTAGCTTAGCTTAGGTTTGAGATTCTAAGTAGAATGGGTCAACTTTGATATGGAAAAAATTGTAGTTTACGATCAAGTAACTATGAGTACCCTGGGCAACGCTGGGTTCTCGAGCTATTACTCAATAAAGTGTATAACTGTCAAAATCCAATCACTTTTAATTTACAGATTTCAATTTCAGGAGCTCCGGGTATAATCGAAACAAAAGGTTTGTCCTCGAACCTGAGCTTACTAATCTTCAAGATAGCCTTCATGCTCTATATTCTACTCAAGAAGATAGTTATCAGCAGAAGTGGGAAAATGCGCAAGAAATTGAAAAAATACCGCAACATAAAGTGATCCATATCAACAAAGACGATTGTACATTATACCAGAAATGTTTGAATGAGAAAGGTAATTCACAAGATGAGCTTTTCACAAACGTTTCTTATGAAAAATGTGATAATTTTCTAAGATCATGTAAAGAACAGACAAAGTTTACGGATCTTACCAAAAATTAATTTTGGACTCTTGGCTCTGTTCGAATATGTTGGACTATTAAAGGTTGATGGCGTAAAACTTTGAAGTTTATAAATTGGAAACAGAGGTAGCAAGGGGCCCCCCATAGTGACAGTTCATTCTAAAAGATTCCAGGAAACCTGAAAATTTTGTTTTTGATGACATGTCTAAATTTAAGAGTGATATTTCTGGAGAGAAATTGAATCCTTTTGTTCAACTTTAATCAAAGTCTTTCTAAATCTTTCAAGATTTAAACTTTAATAATGAATCAAAGATTTAAACTTGGATCATTCACACTCAGCGACATATTGTAATTAATCAAACCAATAAAATTATATTATTCAATTGTTAAAAGGGATTGCCGTATGTAACTTCAAGTGGTCCTCCGATTCACAATAGCACCCTTCACACAACTTTAACTGGTCAGTAATATAGAGGATATTGTCGTTTTTTTTTCTTCAAATTTGTTCTGCAGACAGTTCCGCAAGTCAGTTTTAAAGAGAAACATAAAAAAGAATTAATTAATCAAAAAAATAAAAAAAAATAAACGCATTATTTTTGCTCTGAAAAAGATTCCACTCTTGAAATAGAAATAATTCAGTATCTCTAAAATCAAGAGAATGTAAAAGTAGATCAGTTAGACTAACTTCCTCAAATAAATACAACGCGTTGTCAAAATGCAAAACAATGCTGAACAATAAACATATAGTAATGCAATGTTAACAGAAACTTACTTAATGTTCGTAATACCGGACAATAACTTCATCATTTGTATGTTTGTTTGTTTGTATCCAATAAACGTCAAAACTGGCTGAACCGATCAGGGTCAGCTTTTATGTGGGACCTCACATAACCCCAGAGAAGGTTTATGGGTATCAAAATTTCAAAAATTAGCCTCCAACAAAATTCGATTTTCATTAAATTTTGAAAATCCTCAAAATTTGTTTTAAAAAATCTGCAAACTTTTTTTTTGATTTTGTTTTACAATGTATACAAAGAGAAAATGTTCACAAGGGAAGATGGGCGCGAAGCGCCTTTAAAGCCAAGCATCCATATAGCTCTACAGACAAAATTTTGGCTGTCGAATGTCGATAGTTTTGCAAGCTGTCTTTATGTTTGAACACCAATATTATTTTCTTTTTCTAAGTTTATAGAATATAAATATTTTCCTTCAAATTTACAAAAATCCTGTTGGGCGTCACTCTGTAAACAAGCGTACACTTTGCCGTTTTCCGGTTATTTGAACACCTTTCTAGAGATAAACACATAAATCACTCTGTTTTCAATGAACAGATAAAGGTTTAAAGGCCATGGTACCCTTTTTGATTGAGATTTGGGAATACCACTCTATAAAGAAATAAATACAAGGATTTTTTTTTGAAAACCTTATAATATATTATTTTAATGTAAATAAGATGTGTATGTTGTAAGCTATAATTGATAAGACTTGTTTTTATTGAATGTTAAAATTTATGATTTTTTCCTCAAAATTTCGGACAATATATATGTATTTAATTTCATGAACTTTTTGCCAGAGAGTACTTCATACTTATATTACCAAACTTCAACTCCAAAATTACATTTTCTAAGATACAATTTTGGGTAATTTCCTAGGGAACGATTTTTGGACCCCCCCCTCCTATCAATTTTGTACAAGAATCTTACAGAAAGTGTCTTAACTTTACCTAACCCGTGGCCGCAGCGCTCGGCCCCCTAGCCTGTCCTACCCGCAGCGCTCGGCCCAGATGCAAATTATATCAAAAATCAAGACGACATTCAAGTCGTCCTGCATACTGTCATGTTTCGTGGGACACCCTGTATGTGTTATAAGGGCGAAAACCCCCAAAAGAAGCTCCGAAGGACTGAAGCTAGAAGACGACATGCATTAACCTTGTTTTCTATTCTATTTTGTCTAACTTTTAATCCTCGACTAAATCCTAAACAAATGTAGTACAAGAAGTTTCATATTTAGATTCTTTAATTCTACATATTTCTTACACAATTACTTCTAAATATAAACTATGCTTCAAAAAGGTTGACAATCTATTTGCTATGCTTGTCTGGATATCTGTCTCATGGTACTTTATGCAAGGAAGATTATTTCAGAGGTGTACGCATTTTTGTACTGCAGTGTACTGTCTTTTCGCGGAAAAGTAAACATAAGCAGATGTCACAGCCTGACATGGAATCCATTTTCACAAAAATAATCTTTGAAATATTCATAGGAAATTATTATGTGAATTTTCAAAATTATCAAAATTAAATGTTTTTTAACATTGCATTAACTAGACCTTGATCTCTCTGTTTGTTTGTATACAATAAACGTCCAAACGGTTGAACCGATCGACCCCAGAGAAGGTTTATGGATGCTCAGTATTTGTATCTTAAATCTTTTGATTTTGTGAAGTAAAAAAATCTGCGAATTTTGTTGTTATTGTTTTAGACTTTACAACTTGACAGTGCTCACAGAAAGAGCCACAATAAAAAATTTAAAATAGAGAATGGACGCGAAGCGCCCTAAAATCCTAGTATGACTCAAGGTTGTAATGCAAGGAAAGTTAATTGCAGTTGCGTGTTCTCTGCGTACATATTGAAACCAGTTCTCTCAAGGCGGAATTTGCAAACAAGAATAGATGCATGCAGTGTTCTTTTAGTATCCGAGGAGGTCAAAAGCATTAAATTTTGATAATTTTGATAATTCACATAATAGTTTCCTATGACTAGAATATTTCATTGATCTTTTATGTGAAAGATGGATCCCATGTCAGGCGTCGACTTGCGTCTTGTGTTTACATTACCGCACAAAGACAGTACACTGCAGTACAAAAGATGCGTACACCTCTTAAATAACTTTCCTTGCATTACAACCTTGGTGTAACCTGCCTGTATTTGCATGATTGTTTATTTCTGCACATCTTATCCCTGCAGCGTTAAAACAACTTTAAAGGAATATTTATATTTGAGATTGTTTTTAAGCAGTTTTAACACAATAGCTAGCTGATAATCAACATGTGGGTAACTGTTCAATCCTTGTGTTTCACGCTCCTTAGACTAACTAAAACACACACCTCTGATATTTCTTTCATGTTTATGAATTGGTACAGACCAATTTCATACTTGTATTTATATTGAGTTCTAGACACACAGTTTAAACTTCTGGATTTTCAAATCAAATCACTATTTTGATGCATCGATTGACAAACACACCTCTAACATTTTTATGATGTTTTATGAATTGGTAAAGACCACGATTTGTGCTTTAAACATCCCTTCAGACTTATTTTTTATAAAATTTTAACCAAAAAAAGGTCATCATTAATATTTTATATATGTTTTTCATTAGCGTTTTGCGATAAAAATAGTGAAAAGTAGAAAGTTGTTATTGGCGGTTGACGAAAGCTTAGATTGCCAGCTTTCAGAAATGTATTTTGAAATTTTTGTACCTTCTATGATTATTTTTTATAGTAAAGCCAACATATCGTCCCCCAAAGTACGTGAACTACACGACCACTTTCTATAGAGAGAACGGGCTCTGATAATAATTGAGTAATACTATATATGTCGTCTTCAATTTATCTAAATTTATATTTATGATGAAAATTGGCCAAATCTAAGAATCTAAGAATTTCGACAGCTTCTCATTCCAGTTTTCATATTTATCTTGAATTTGTCTAAACATATAGCTGACCGAATTCATAGGATTGGAGATGTTTCTAAACTACCTATATATTTAGAACAAAACTTCGAAATAGGAAGACGACTTTACACTCATTTCATGCCTTTCAATAGTCCAATAAACATTAGACACTCACACAGCAGTTATATCTTTGTAACACATATTCAGACCACTGAATAAGTGATTTAATAAGTCGCTGTTAAAACTATTTTCTTGTAACAACATCAAATACACTTCAGTAATAATTAAAGCCCTATCCCACAGTTCTCTTCAATTAATTACCAAAATTCTTATAAATCTTTAACTTTGAATCGGTGATTCAGGATTTGAACCAGCGGGGTTTCTCGTGACTCATTAAATCCGGTCCCTGGTACAGTGAAACCCTTAATAACGAATACATCGTTAGAATTCATCAAATGTCGTATTCTTCACTTTCTGATAATGTAATGTTGCAGATATTTAGTTTTTTAATTAAATGATTATATGGAACTTTTTAAATGTCTATTTATTTATTTTAGCAAATACTGAAATTTACGTAATATAGTATAAAACTCATTTAAAAATTGTCAAGACGACATTTGATAAATTCTTCCGATGTATTCGTTATTTAGGGTTTCACTGTATTTAATGTAATTATTTGTTTTATCAAGTAAAGTACTAGCTTGTTATATAGCTAGTAGAGAATATGTTTTAAAATGATGGGGTTGTATTATTATTATTATTGTAGTATACTATAACACCATTCTAAGTTCAACATCTCCTCTCTCTGTTGCATAATCCATGACCCAAATTATGTACTTTCTGTTCATTTTAGTAGAACCCAAAATCATCAGAAAATTTGGGAAGAATAAGCAATATAATTCAAACATCTTTAAATAGATAATTGTAATGGTATACGCCATGTAAAACCACTTCCGGAACAAATCAAAAGGAACAGAATTCTTAGTTTCGTAATAATATCAATCTTCCAAAAGTTTTTAAAGATATGAATTATATCATATAACTGACTTGTAATGAATTTGAAAATGTGTGATATACCACTAAAATTATGATCATGATCTCGAAGAAACTTTTCATTTATATAGAAATGCTTGAGGTATAGCTCTGTATTACGACCAAAAATGCTTAGAGTTTTTCTAATAGTGCTACATTTACATCATACATACTTTTTAAAAATGATATTAAAAATATTTAACCATAAATACATAATTTACTATCCGTGTACATTGTACATATATGATATAGTCTTCATATATATAATGAAGAGTTTGGGTTACTATTTTGCATAAGATAAAATCTCACCCTGATCTCTAATAGTTCTCCTTAAATCTATTTACTTGAAATGTTTTGTTATCATTATTGAAATTAGATGGAAAAATATATCAAAACAGCCAAGAGCTATTTACCACCTAATTAATTGCTTTATACTTGTACTGTTAATATAATCATCAATTTGTAATTGTAAACTCGTTCTGTACACAGATACATGTTTTTAGCAATAAACTTTATCTATCTATATATCTACTAACGATGAAAGAGACTTATTTATGACGACTGAGGACTCCTGAAAGTACAAAGAATGCATAAACCCAAATCTATTGTCAAGTACATTAAATGGCAACAGAAAAATCGACCAATTATGCACTACGTCACAAGTGTCGAATGTAAAAAGAATGACAACATTTTGCCCAACTAGTTGATATGATTTCAAAGATTTAGTTAATAACCAGAAAACAATGGAATGGGAAGACAACATTTACCAATACTTAATTGTTTTTATGTTGTAAGAAAGCAAATAGTCTTACTAGACACTTAATAAATCATTAGTTTAATCAAATGCGTCTGTTTAAACTGCACAAGTGTTGGGAGTCCTGCTTATTGGACCATTTATAGTTCTCAAAGTCGTCTTTCTATTTCGGAGTTTTCTTGTTATCACTGAAGAGTAAATTTACTGTCATTTGGTGGCTTTATTCATTTTTTTTCTCTTCTAACAATCTATTTGCATGAACCATCATATTTGTAAATGCAAACAATTTATTTATAAAATTTAAATTGTACTTAAACATTTTAAAATTTACTTGAGGTACACTTGCAATTACAAAGACGATCCCTATAGGAAATATTTAACCATTTTTAGCAATATTCGCATGAATGACAATCACAGCATTCACACTTAAAGACTTCTACTATAGCATATTCTCCATGTTCAAGAACTTGTTCATGGTCTACATAGCATTCTTTCTTCCGGCTACAATTATCATAAAAGATATCAAGCAGATTTATGAATTTACCCTCACGTTCCACTAAGGACCTAAATAATTTTTTTTATCATTATTATTATCATTATTATTATTATTATTATTATTATTATTATTATTATTATTATAATTTATCCTTTAAAGTATTCATAATTCATTGATTAATCTTGATAAAATTTTCTTATTGTAAACTTCTTAACTTAATAATAAAGTTTTTAGTTACAAATAAAACTTTTTTTGTAACACCATCTAATACACATTCAATACGCTCAAAGAAAGTCGTCTTAATGTAATATATGTAGTTTTATGAATCTAACCTCGCATTTGTTAGAGCTAATTCTGTTTCCGGTTCTACAATCTCTTCCGGTTTTATTAGCTCTTCCGGAATACCCTCCAGGATGATTTTCTCCAGTTTCTCTAAGTTCTCCAGTTGTCCAACAGCTGATGCCAGATCCTCCAATGCTCCCTGAACCTCCGAATTCTCTAAATCCTTCAATCCTTGTAGAGGGTTGGAGTACACTAGCGAAACTGCCAACATGATGTTGACGAGCATCATGAATTCTTGAGACATTTTTAAAAAACAATATTAACTGCTTCTAGTCAGGGTTGATGTTCAAATGAGAGCAGTTAGGTCGTTATTAATAATTAAAACTAGGGTGGCGGTGGGGGGGGGGCGCACAAAGGGGCCTTTCAGGTGGATGGGAGGAGGAAAATAAAGAGCAAGCGCCGGTTATCCTGGAATTTCCTTGATATCTATTTATAGACCTGTGTAACTAGCCCTCTAACGATATAGATCTTAAATCAAATAGACTTTATACTTAGAGTTGGAACTGTATTTAAAAATAAATGTTTCGTAATTCAAAATTTTTACACTTACACTTTTTGAAATTTGACATTTTTGCTCTCCGAAGCATTTTACAGTGTTTCTCATAGAGATGGAAATTTTTAATATGTAGATAAAGGAACTTAATAACCAACTCTTATTTTTTAATTCCTATATCTTTGCAACTTTATGGTGTAGACCTTTGAAATTTCATAGTTAGATTATTTAAATGCACATAATTCATAGTTTAAAATATCTAAAGTCTACGGCATTTGGATGCAAAGGTATAGGAATTAGAAAACCAGTATAAGAAATCTATTCCTTTAATAAGGTTTTTAGTAGAAATGGAACGTGGATATTCTTTAAAGAAGTCTCTATTTTGATGGGAATTAAAAACAATTCTGTCAGCTAACTTCCTTGTTTCTGCTGGATAAAGCCGAAAGAATATAAAAAGTCAGAAAACAAACCAGAGATAATTTCCATCATTTTCGCTCAAACAAAGTTTGATTGAGTACTTGAGGAATCAGGCATGTCATTCCTTAATAAACGGGCATTTAGAACTAAACAAATAGCCCCTTTAAAGGGAGTGGCCGGCTATGTAAGGTAGTTGAACTGAGTATGCAGTGTTGTGGAAAACTTCTTTCGGATTCATTTGAGACATATAAAACTTTTTAAAGATCTGTAAATCCTAAGTTTGAGCTCAAATCCGACGTTCAAAACTCCTACTTTGGGGGTGGATACGTTTTCAGAATCGGTTTTTTGTAAATTATTAAATAACGACGACAAAATATGTAAACAATACTCTACAGTAAACTAATTAGTTGTTTAGGAACCGGTTGAGAAAATAAAAATTAATCTTATCATCGAAAATAAGTAATCTTGGTCATGTTTTAGTTTCTATTTTCTCGTTATTCTGGTTTCTCATTATTCAAAAAGATTTTCTGCAGATTTTCTGTAATTATTAATGAAAAAACGACATTTGAAGACTTTGAAGAAATCTGCGAATAAATTCAAAGAAAATAAGAAATTCGAAATAGGGATGAAAACGAAATAATTAATTCTAGCATTGATTTATTGACAAATTTCTTTTGAGAAAATATGTTCCTAAACATCTCATTAGATTACTGTATAATTGTTACATTATTTTTCGTCGTCGTTATTTAATGATTTAAAAAAACGATTCTGAAAACGTATCCACCCCCAAAGAAAGAAATGGTAAATACTGTATTTTTATTCTAGTTACTTCTCATTTGGAATGGAAATAAACATTCCTGTGTATGGTTATAAGCAATCAAATTTGCAGTGAGACCCATAAAAATTTGGAAGAGGAAGACTAGTGACTATATAGACTCAAGTTAAGATTTTAGATTGTCTTATAAACAGAGCTGCACTTGGGCGGACCGCCTGGCTTTTAGAGAGTCTCCAGAAACGGAGCTGTCTTGGGTTGACCGCCTGGCTTTTAAAGAGTCTCCATAAACTGAGCTGTCTTGGGCGGATCGCCTATAAAACGATTGTAGGGAAAGTATGTTATCTTTTTCCTGAAATTCATGATTCCCTAGGCAACTGTAAACTTATTTCTTTCTTTTGTCAATTCATTAAATAAGCAATTAAAAAACATATGTTCAATGTTCATCGAAACATTTATGTCACTTTACTGGAGCCGTTTAGACGTGGATCTGGATACGGATGAACCAACAAACAATTAACAATTACGAAAAGGGACTGTCAACTTTGGGGGTGGATACGTTTTCAGAATTAGTTTTTTTAATCATTAAATATCGACGACATAAAATGTAAAACAAGTTCTACAATAAACTACAGACGTCATGTAGAGGAACATTTTGAGAAAATAAAAATTAATCTTATCATCAGAAATAAGTAATCTTGTTCAATTATTAGACGACATTTGAAGGATTTGAAGAAATCNTCTGCAGAAAATCTTTGTGAATAATGAGAAACTAGAATATTGAGAAAATAGAAACTAATAATTGAACAAGATTACTATTTTCGATGATAAGATTAATTTTTATTTTCTCAATATGTTTAATATTTAATAATAAAAAAAAACTAATTCTGAAAACGTATCCACCCCCAAAGTAGGAGTTTTGAACGTCGAATTTGAGCTCAAACTCAGGATTTACAGATCTTTAAAAGGTTTAATATGTCTCAAATGAATCTGAAAGAAGTTTTCCACAACACTGCATACTCAGTTCAACTACCTTACATAGCCGGTCACTCCCTTCAACGGATTAACATAGTGGAAGATAACCCCGTTTTTATTTCTTGGAAAGGTGGCAATTATTGCAATGTCTTTCCTTCTATTTACAAAATAATTCGGCAGATCGCTTCTCTAGAGAACTTCCATCGAAAATAATTGATTTTAAGGTGGAAAAACGAGGATAATAAAGGGAGGGACATTATTTCTTTGGTCTCTTTTTGTTTTACAACTTTATTTGAGGACTAAAAATTTTGAAACTTGGATTCAGATCCATGTATCATTATGTACTGTATACGGATCCTTAGAGTCAAAATATTGCGGGTTTATTAAATCCTGATCCTTAACACTAAACGGGGATACTAATTTTATGTATTTGATAAATTAGATTAAATAATATCTACCAGTAGAACTGGAAAAGAAGTTTGGACGCCACTGCTCTCCGATTTGGACTTAGACACAGCAATCTTAGGTTAGATATTAAATACAGCAATCTTAGGTTAGATATTATATACAGCAATCTTAGGTTAGATATTAAATACAGCAATCTTAAGTTAGACATTAAACACTGCAATCATAGGTTAGATATTAGATATGCATCAATCATAGGTTAGATATTAAATACAGCAATCATAGGTTAGATATTAGACACAGCAATCATAGGTTAAATATTATACAGCAATCATAGGTTAGATATTAGATACAGCAATCTTAGGTTAGATATTAAATACAACAATCATAGGTTAAATATTATACAGCAATCATTGGTTAGATATTAAATACAGCAATCATAAGTTAGATATTATACAGCAATCATTGGTTAGATATTAAACACAGCAATCTTAGGTTAGATATTAGATACAGCAATCTTAGGTTAGATATTAAATACGCAAACATAGGTTAGATATTATACAGCAATCATTGGTTAGATATTAAATACAGCAATCTTAGGTTAGATATTAAATACAGCAACCATAGGTTAGATATTATACAGCAATCATTGGTTAGATATTAGATACAGCAATCTTAGGTTAGATATTATACAGCAATCATAGGTTAGATATTAGATACAGCAATCTTAGGTTAGATATTATACAGCAATCATAGGTTAGATATTATACAGCAATCATTGGTTAGATATTAAATACAGCAATCTTAGGTTAGATATTAAACACAGCAATTTTAGGTTAGATATTAAATACAGCAATCTTAGATTAGATATTAGATACAGCAATCTTAGGTTAGATATTATACAGCAATCATAGGTTAGATATTATACAGCAATCATCGGTTAGATATTAGATACAACAATCTTAGGTTAGATATTAAATACAGCAATCATAGGTTAGATATTAAATACAACAATCTTAGGTTAGATATTAAATAAAGCAATCTTAGGTTAGATATTAGATACAGCAATCATAGGTTAGATATTATACAGCAATCATTGGTTAGATATAAAATGCTGCAATCTTAGGTTACATATTAAATACAGCAATCATAGGTTAGATATTATTCCGCAATCATTGGTTAGATATTAAATACAGCAATCTTAGGTTAGATATTAAATACAGCAATCTTAGGTTAGATATTAGACACAGCAATCATAGGTTAGATATTAGACACAGCAATCATAGGTTAGATATTAGACACAGCAATCATAGGTTAGATATTAAACACAGCAACCATAGGTTAGATATTAAACACAGCAACCATAGGTTAGATATTAAACACAGCAACCATAGGTTAGATATAAGATACAGCAATCATAGGTTAGATATTAGAAATATCATGATGATTATTATCATTCTCATAATTATTTTTATTATTATCTTCATCTTTATCATCTAGGGATTCCATTTTAACCTTCAGTCTATTCACTCAACACCTCTTCAGTCTTCATTCAACCTTCAATACTATTCTATATAAATATATTCTAAAATGCTTAGTACTCAGAGTACATTAAAAAATTATAATTTCGCCAAACTTTTTGAATCTGAAAATGATTCTGATGTTGAATTTAAAATCTTCAACACTGTTGACCCCAAGACCGAGACGAAGTCTGTGAAAGGACATCAATTCCTGCTGGGCCTTCTTTCCCCCGTTCTTAAGAAGCAGTTCCTCTACATGAAGGAGAACGTCATAGAGGTCCGTGGTCCGTCCTTCAACAGTTTCAGAGCCTTCATCAAGTTCCTGTACAGCGGGGAGGAGAATGATATTAAATGTATCAATGATTTGAAAGTTCTGTTTGAGATCTACGGTTTAGGGACTACCTATCAGGTCCGGGGGATTAGGAATCTAATGAATAGCTTTGTGGAAGTTCCTCCAACAAAGCTTGCCTACTGTCTTGAGGTTCTGCAAGAATACGAGACCAAATTCATTTTCGAGGATTTGGTGAAAATCGCCCAAGAAAAATGTTATAAAACACTCAATAACAACTCTTCTTTCGACGAAATACCTCCAACAGATTTGATTCGTATTTGGGAGTTCATGAAGCAAGATCCGGTCCTATGGGGTTTATCTGACTTAAAGAAACTTAAAGACGCTGTCGAGAGTGTTAAAGCAGCATAGAGGAAAG